AGGGAGCAAGGTGGTTCCCAAATCAGCAAAGCAGACAATGGGCGAGACACCACATGCAGAGGGCACTCCACAGCTGACCAGAGCTAATTCCCAGAGCAACCAGCAGGAGGTGCCAATGGTGGTGAGTCCTGACCCTGTTACAATACACATGAGTAGCATGTGTTGTAGAAGTGTTATAAGCACATCAGTACAAGGTATTTGGAACACAGCAGGTAACAACTCCAGCACACATAGGTAGGACTTAACTTCCTTCTTGTACTTTCTACCCAACCAGTCACAACAAAACATTATATCAAGACAACAGCTTATCCTAAAGATAGAGATACTGCACTATCTATTGGTGGAGCTATTGTCTGCACTGATCATTACAGTATTATAGATGGTTATAAGCCAAGGTTGTAAGCAGCTTGCTGGACTCCATAACAATCAATAACCATTGATATACCATTTATTAAAACAGCTATTCAATACAAACAAATAAACACATATTTATTCACCCTTTATAAACTATTTAGAAATGGACCATTTATATAAAGTGTGACCTACAGTATTATACATGCTGAGTTTCTTTCTTCCTTACAACCAAGATTCACAACTTACTGAGGGTTGTGATGGATTCTCCATCAATGTAGATGAGGCCTACATGTCTTTCTAAAAGAAATGCTGCAGCTCAATCAGAAGTTCTTGTCCTGATGCAGAGATAATTGGGTGAGGCTCTTTGGCTTCTGTTGCTCAGGCTAGAGGATCAAAATGGTCCCTTCTGGCCTTCAGATCTATTAATCTTTGACTCTCAGACTATACAGTTATGTGCAAAATAGTTGGACTAGGTGAGACTGAGGGAAAACTCCAGAAGTTAGAGATGTATGCCCTCATCCAGCTCCCATTGCAATCAATGGTAAAAGTCCCATTAGTTCAATGGTTCAGAAGCAGATCCTCGGTGCCGCTAGCCATTCATGCTGAACTAACTCTCGTAGATACCAGAGGGAATTCAGCATATGGATCAAGGACTGTATTTAGCCGTTAACCCCTTTATTCCAGGGTAGATCATTTGCATCTCCCCAGCCCCTCTCTTGCTCTGTGACCTGGAAAGCAGCCTTCAGGGTACATACCATTGTTCTGAAGTCAACCTGTATTTTCTTAACAACACTCGTCTCTCCTTGAGACCTCATTTTCTTTTGAACTAGGGAAAGCACAGCTGTTAAGTAAAGAGATACAATATATCACCCCACTAATATGTTTTCCTCGGCAGTCATTAAAGTCAAGTGTTAGCCTTCAGCTGGACTGTTGTAAAAAATAAAATAAATAAATAGATACCACTGGGAAGAAAATGAAACTATAATTTCAGCCACATTAAAATTGCTCTCATCCCCAAATGGATTCATGCTTCAAGTCGGATTTCAGAGGTGTGAGAAGGGAGGTAATTTAGATCTTTACAGTGCCCAATTAAAGGTATCGTTTTATAGGTGATAATTTCATACAGGAAAGCAATTCAAGTTTTAATAATTTAATTGATTTTCCTTTGAACCTGTTGAGGGAAAATATGGAGAGAAAACACTTTTGATGGCCAGCAGTCATGAGTTAAGGGATCAAAGGGGTTTGAGATAGCTCAGGCCTGAAGAGGTTGACACATTAATTTTTTCAGGTTGTTATTCATAGCAGGAATGGACTGAGGTACTGACCCTGCCACCACTGGATTTCTGATGTTACAGCGAACATAATTTTGCTTTCTCTACAGAAAAAACTTGGGTGTGATTTTTTTTTCTCCTTCACTTTCCTTGAGGGAAGTCCAAGTTTTTATGCTGGGATATAAATTTGGACCCCATTGCTTGCCAGGGAAACATATAGAAGGGCCAAGTGATTGACCAGAATCAAAAATACACCTCAAAGCTGCATGATAAAAAATACCAAATCACTTAGCAACTTAGCAACTTCTATTCCAAAGGATCCCGAAGCACAGTACAAACCTTGCTATCGAGCTATGCAGGTCTTATTTCACCAGTCACCAAAATTCAGCTTGCACAGTGGGGGAAAGATAGCTCAGTGGTTTGAGCATTGGCCTGCTAAACCCAGGTTGTGAGTTCAATCCTTGAGGGGGGCCACTTAGGGGTCTGGGGCAAAATCAGTACTTTGTCTTGCTAGTGAAGGCAGGGGGCTGGACTTGCTGACCTTTTAAGGTCCCTTCCAGTTCTATGAGATAGGTATAGCATAGGCATTCAGAGCTAACTGCATTATTCTACAAATAGTTTGGAATTAAAAACAAAGACAGAGCCCTTATCTTGTGGTTGGAATTGTAGGTAGGGAGACTCACTCAAACTGAAAATGGGCCAGGTCAGTGTGATTCAGGAACTGCAGGAGTGCCTTTTTAAGAGTGGAAGGGCATAGATTTGTCTCCTCTGCCATACCCTCCTCTTCCTCTCTTGGGTGCCCTCCCCCATCAGTAGCCTGATGCATGATGCCGTTGGCCTCTGAACTCCTACATCCACCCCCACGCAGGAGTTTCAGCCCTCATGGGAAACCCCCTATGAGTGTGCAACAAAAAAACCCCAGCAAATTACATTTCTTGTCCAGCAACCAGCAAGAGAGTAGAAAAAGTGGCCAGGCTGGTCAAAAAATGGCCAGGAGGCAATGCTATTTTCCTGTTTAAAAGTGGCTCTGTGGCCTATGGCAGGATAAATCCCCCTAAGTGTAGGGGGAAAAAAAAACCCTGCCAAGGTATTTTTAAGAACTACAAGTATCCAGACTTTCAGTTTTATGTTTAACCTGAAAGACAGCCCTGCTAGCAACACAGTGCTCGTTAGGGCTGCCCAGAGGGGAGGCAGCCGACAAAGCACCACCTTCTGATTCACCAGAACGACCTGACGGACAAGTGTTGCATGTGATTCACTTGTGGGCTCACCTGTGTTTGAATGTTGCCATTTCCTCTGTGAGGTTTGGAGCTTTTCGGCCGAATGGCTGTGCAGAGCTGTTTCATTCACACAGCTCTGATAAAGTCTGAGTCTACTGCCAGGAGAGAGATGATGTGCTTGACTCAGTCATATTGAAAACTTTCCTAGCTGTCAAAAACTGGTTAGAGGAAGTTGATACTGAAGCAGCTTCAGTGCATATAGGTGTTGTAAGTTATGTGGGTGTGTGCTCTCTCCGTATGCCATCCCAGCCCTGCGCAGATAGCTGTTTCAGCAGACCTTGATGGTACTACCCAGAAAGACCACAGACTCGATGCAGTGACAAAAGCACTCGGCCAGGTTTATTGCCCTCAACACAAAGTCCTAGCACCCTGTTCTGTGGAGAAAGGGACACTAACACATATGTGCCCTGTGGCAAAGAATGGCTTTGTCAGCAGTGAGAATTTCTGCTGTCCCCCACACAAAGGGTTAAGGCGAGGTACCCCGGCATTTATAGACTGAGACACTCAACTTACGTACCACTTTGTGTTTCATGACATTTGCTTGTTACCTCCCCTTATATCATGCTCCAGGTGTCTTGGGCAAAACATTCTCTTATCTGGTGTCTCTGGGCTAATCATTAAAAGTGTGTTCTCACACATATCCAGAAGCTGTTGCTTCTTAAAAGTGCCTGTGTTTTAGCACTAGCAATATCTTTTTCAAGGTCATATATTGGACAGTTTTCAGAGTAGCAGCCGTGTTAGTCTGTATCCGTAAAAAGAACAGGAGTACTTGTGGCACCTTAGAGACTAACAAATTTAATAATTTAATAAATTTGTTAGTCTCTAAGGTGC